TCTCTCTTTCTCCGCTTTACCTTTTGTTCAGAGCACCCAGCACATCCTGACTTCACGGATGTGCTGGCTGGTTTGACTCTTTCATGCAAACATGCCATCATGACAAGCTCTTTGGGTTGAGCACTGCGCTTCTAGTGCCTGATCCATATGAGGCGATCAATACATACCTGATAAAGGAGCCAGGGAATGAATTCCTCTTAACCCAATCTACAAATCTGATGAGATCCCAATCAAAATTCCAAGGGAATTTGATCATATGATTCAAAATGCATACATACAAACATTTAAAATGTGTATTTTTTGAAACAAATTTTATTTGCCAGAATTGATTCAAAATGAATAAATGTTCAGAGGTATCTATACAACAATGATCATCAAAGACTTATTTATAAAGTAGAAAACAATATCATTTTAAGTCCATTAGCTACAGCCAAATTATACAATTTATGATGAAGCAGGAATAAAGATACTAGAAGATATTATTTTGCAGAAATAACTTTAATATTATTAAAACTTACAAAACATAAACATAACAAAAATTACTTATAACTATGGGTAAGGGTATATTTACATGTATTATTAGGCTATGTGAAAAGATAAATATACATATTTGTATACTTATTTCTTAATCTAAAAAATAAAGATTATGATAAGAACAATTTTCAGATCAGTAGTCAATCGTGAATTGACTTCCTTTGGTGAGTCCCCTGGCCACCTAGGACTGTGGCTCCAGCTGGCAGGACCAGATGTAACTACAGGACAGAGTGGCACCTGTGAGCTCCCAATCTCAGGTGTCCCTCCCAGTGTCAGGAGCCCCAGGAATTGCTACACAGCAAGGTCTGGGGGGAGGGGGGATCAGGGAACCATGGACACAGGTTCTCTGGACCGACCAGCAGAAAGAGTCCAGCCCAGCCCTTGCCCAACTACTGCCCGGCCTCACCTCTCATTTTCACTGAGCCGTTTCAGGGCCCAGAACCAGGCCCGGAATTGCTCCTCAGGCTCTATTTTGTATTTCTGGGCAGCCTCCTGCAGAACCACTATCTCCTCCAAAACTCTCTGTACCTGAGGCAAGAGGGAAGGAGAGGATGCAGACACGGCCCAAATGGGGGTGAAGAGTGGAGCCGGGGATTGGTCCTGGGTCTTTGCACACAAAGGCACCCTCCTTCCCCCTAATTCCATCCAGGTCCTTCCTGTGCTCAGAGATGGGCATTAACAGCCCTTCGTCCAAGAGATTATCCTTGATTCCATGCCCCTACCCCCAGCCACCAACTGGAAGGTTCTCTCACTTCTGTTATCAAACTCTCCCAATAAATGGAAGATGCAGGGGATGGAGCCCAGGAGTGTGCTGGCCAGGGTGTCTATGATTCTCACTCCCCGCCCCTGCCCCGCAGGCTATGCCACAACTGCTAACCTTTTTCTTTTTTGCTAACTGATCTGATTCTTCTAAAAGGCAGATATCCAAGGTCCATGAGAAAGAACACCCTAGCTAGGACTAGCTCCCTATGCCCACCCTTCTCATGTTGCAGTACAACCAGGTCCCAAGAGGGGGCAGGAAACAGGGAAAGACAGGGCTCTGACCCAGGCTAGGCTCTGGGCTCCAGACAAGGGGGATATGCATCACTATGACGGGCACGTCTCCCCTGCTCCCAGGGGCAGTTATGCTGAGATTTAGGGCTCAGTTTGGGGGCTCTCTGTTCCAAAAGGCCAATCCTGGTCACCCCAACTCACACCCCAGGTCACCCACCTCCAGATCATCCTCCATCCTAGTGTCCAGCATCTTCAGATCAGTCAGAAATTTTCCGAGGAAGAGAACATACTGGGCAAACAGGGTGAGTGTGGGATGAGCCCCTGCTCTCGGGTGCACCACAGACCCTCCCCCGAAAGCCTCCCACCCTCAGCCTCCTGGCCACCCCAGGGTTCCCACGTGGAGCAGCCCAGGACTCTTAGGGCCTCCACTCAATTGTCCCTTCCCTCACTCTCCAGGAACTCCTCTTGATCAGCTCCCAGGACTTCCTTTTGGTAAATCACAGGGTCAGTGGTCCCGGGCCTTCCCCACCCCCATGTCCATCCTGCACTCAGCACCCCCAGGCCCTCCTCTTGGTCACTTCTAAGGGAGGGTTTCAGGTTCTGTGGGCACAGGAGGTGGGGCTGGAGGAGGAAGGCCTCCCTGTCTTGACTTGGAGGCTACCAGCTGGGTGTACAGAGCCCCCCTCCTCTGACCCTGGAGTGCCTCCCAGGCAGGCTCACTCACCTTCTTGTGCAGCCTCTTCTTGGATCCTCAAATGTTCAACATCAGAGTGGCAAACCTGGAGGGCTCCTTCATGCAAGATAGAAGTCCTGGTCATTGAGGTCATGCTCACCTCACCCCATTCCTCCCCACCACCTCTGACCTCACACCCTGGCCATCTGACCAGTGCCACCCGGACTCCAACATGCTCCAATTCTGGATGCCTCCCAGCTACAAGGCTCACTTGGTGTGTGTGACCTTGGGCCTAGACCTGGCCTCACTAACCTGTTCCCTGCTCTGGAAAGTGGGAGACCTCCACCTAGCTCATGGGTTCTCCTGAGGACTCAGTTTCATTCCTGTCATCATTGTTCTTGCCCTCAGCCCTCCAGGTGGGACAGGGCAGGGAGCTCTGCACAGTCCTGTTCTATCCCGAACTCATGATCACCCTGTGAGGCCTGCAGCACATGATGGTCACCCCTCCATGTCAATCATGAGGAGACTGACTGGCAGCGAGTGCTCTAGGGGCGCAGTGAGAAGTCTCAGGAAGCACACTCCTCTGTCTGGTCCAACCAGTAGGAACTAAAGCAAAGAGCCTTATTGTTCTTCTGTCCCATGGGAACCTCCTGAAGGGCCCATCCTCGGGGCAGGCAGGGGGCGCCCCCCTTGGAGGTGTGGAGAAGACAGAGTGGCAGCAGGGCCTTGGCATCCTGAGACCAGGCTGGGCTGTTTTGGGAAAGAAACCACCCCTTTACCTGACAGCCTGGAAGAAGCTCAGGGCCAGCACAGGGAGGAGCATGGAAGCCAGAGACCTGCTCAATTGCCAGCTCCGCACCCCATCCTGGAACAGCCCGGCCACCACCCTGTGTGCCATGACCAGGGCCTCCTGTCCCTGAAACTGCCCACCCACCTGCCCATGGACCATACAGATCCCTCTTTCTTATAATCAGCACCGAGAGGGTGAACATTTTCAGAGGATCTTTAAGTGACAAAATACCAAAGCCACATCCTGTGCAGTCCCTCCTTCCCTCACACCCTCCTCTCTGCAGACCTCCAGGCTTACTCTACCTTGATGAGCTGTTCCCTGCTCAGTGAGTTGTCTTCCTTACACAGTTTTTTCAATGTAATTGCGCACCTCCTGAGAGGAGGAAAGGAGGAAAGACATGTTTAGGAAAAATGGAGGAGAGGGATGTGGGGACCACGCCAGAGTTGCCTGGATGCCTGATAGTCAAGGTCAGTGAAGCACAGAGGCCTTGTTGTTAATACACCAGATGTCCAAGGCCACCCTCAACATGGGAATCTTAATCAGGCTGAGATGCCATAAGCAGGTGCCATCCTACATTATACTGTGCATGTGTGCCCTTCTGTAGCCAAAATGATTGATGTAATTGTTGTCATGAAGCCTTCTTTGTCAATGAAGCAATAGACAGGTTACTGACCAGCTAGTCTGCTAGAGAGAGCAGCCAGGAAGGGAAAAGGCTAGAGAGCTCAGACGGAGCTGAGAGGAACCCAGTGAAGAAGATGTAAAGCTCAGAGCTCAGGTGTGTTAACCAGCTGGAGTGTGCTGGGCAGGGGAGACAGGAGAAGCTGCTGAGCCAGAGCTCAGATATCGCTTTGATGTAAAGCCGTGATTTGAGAGGCAGCATGAAGCTGCTCAGATAATGTCTGTGGGTGCAGAGACTGATGTGGGAAAGAAATGTATGTACCAGCCGGTGTACAGCTGCCTGATTGGGACACTGTTATGAAAGACTGTCTTGTCTGATGACTTATGGCCACTGGCTTCTGCAATAAAGACTCATTCTTATGCACCCACAACTTCTCAGGGCTTCTCCTTCTAAGGTCCGGTGTTCTAGGAGGTCCAACCCCAAGCAGAGGGGCTGAGACCCAACACCTGTAACTAGTGAGCAGAGAATAAAGGAGGAACTTGGATTTAGTTCCCAACAGTTTGTGCAGTGGGCGGGGTTCGAGAAGGACCTGCCCTGGCGTGGTCGCCAAGAATGTAGAAGAATATAGGGGCTCAGAACCACTCAGAGCAGCTGTGCTCTTGCCGCTCTGACACTGGCTTTGCTGGCAGGATCCGGAAGATGTGCAGGTTCCAGCAGGAGCCGGTGCTCCCAATACTAGGTGTCAGGACAGGACTTTGGGGGTAAGTGCCCTGTCGGGAGATCGTGTTGACTCCCCACCCCTTGAGGACATGGAACCAGATCCCCAAAGAGCAGCGGGGAGCAGGAGGCTTAGGAGAAACTGAGTTTCCGAAAGCCGGGCTGAGGAAAGGCGGAGGTGAGCCAGCAGCCGCCCTGGTGATTGAGAGCTGCCATCTACCTGCAGCAGGTTGCACGAAGCTTCTGGGAGCTGGTGGAGGCTTGGGAGAGACCTTCCAGAGAAGCAGGAGCAGGTAAAGAAGGTGGAGGGGCCAAATGTCCAAGCTGCCTCCAGGCAATGCAGAGACCCCTCAGCCCCAGCAGAAGCTTTTGCTGGAGTGAGAGCAGTTGGAGTGGGGAGCGGGAGGGGGTTGTGGTCAGACACCCAGAGCCAAGCAGCAGCAAGAGATGGGAGATAGAGCAGCGACAGTGACAAGCAGGAACAACAGACATTTACCTGACACTGGAGCTGCCCAGCTGCTGTCCAGTAATGAGCGTTTTACAACAAGCAATATAAGACTTAGGCCTTTGGCTTGCTGGCTACAGCACTTAAACCAGCAGCCAGTGACTGCTACGAGCCTTCCTGCAGCCCCAGGAATGGAGCAGGGAGCCCTGGATCTGTGAAAGCAACAGATGGAGCTAGTGAAAGCTCCCTGTTTGCAGATGAGCTAAAAGGGTTCAGGACTACAGCAGGAGCTGCCAGTACCGGCTGCTGCTGGGAGAGGAGGGGCAGATGGCCCTTCCAGTGCACCCCTGGGAGAGGCCTGGTCGCTGCTCTGCCACAAAGGGGACAGGTGGGAAGGCAGGGGCCTGATGCCCAGCTTGCAGCCTCCAGAGGGCTTTGCAATATCCAAAGATGTTTCTGCCTGCAGCCCTGGCTGTTTGGGGCTGGCAGCTTAGAGCTAAAGGGCAGCAAGAGACAAGGATGGCAAGGCCTTGTAACTGATACACAGGGGTCACAGAGGAGGGTGGAGAGAAGACACTCTCCCTGGACAGGATTTTTAGACTGCCCGAGGGGAGGAGTCTGACTGAGGCACTGGCTGAGTTGGGAGGACTGGAGGCTGCAGGATGAACTTGCTAATGTGGACTGCAGTTTGCTGGGCAGAGCCCAGTTGTGTGGGGGTTAAGCTGTCTGTGGCAGCAAACAACTCTCTCCTGTGCCAGAGTGCATTTTAGGGAGATGGGACAGACTGTTGCGGATAGAGAGGAGAAGGCCCGGGCACCGTGCACAAGCCCTGACTGTGGCTTGCAGAGAACTGTGTAATGGACTTGGCTGATGCCTGCGTCTCCATGGACAAGACTCCAGAGAGACAAGGACATTTTTTCTTTGTGTGGGAAGGTCGACAGTGGACTTCAGTGACTTCCCTGAGATGTTTGTATACCCCTACCATGTGTGCTGATTGATAGCAGGAGATTTGGCCACCTGGGGCGGCCACGGTGCCAATATTATGTTCCATTGTGTTGATGATGTTGTCCTAACCTTTGATCCCCCTGCAGACTTGAACCAAGCTGCCCGCAGTTGTTCAGACCTATGTTGGTCTTATAGGGAGTCACTGGTGAGTGTCCAGTTTCCCACAGAGGGCCGTTGTTATGGCCGGTGAGTTAGCTATCCTGGAAGGGGGCCACGTGGGGTTGAGCCCCAAAAGAAGAAAAGGGTGCCTGGCTGCTGAGAAGGCAGCCGCCCAGGTGGGCAGAGAAGGATACCCACCAGGTCTTGGTCCCAGTTATGAAGGGAAACTGGGAGCCAGTGCTCTCTTATTGAGGGACAGTCGGCAGCCGAGTGTGCTGCCTTGCAGGCCTGTGTGACCAGCCCACGTCAGGGGTGGCACGAACCCCACTTTGGGAAAGTGAGGGAGGCCTATTTGGAACAGAGGGAAGCGGTGAGTACCAGCCCTCTGTCATATGGGTGACAGACCCTGTGTGGCCTTATGAGACCCTGTGATGGGATAGAGATCATATGAGGGAGCTAGTCCCCTAGTCCATCCCGAGAGGGCGTGCCAGCACTCCCGGAGACCCTGTGTGCTTTAAGGACGGGTCAGGTTACTACAGGGACAGCTGTAACTGTCCGTTTGAGTACAGACGCACTGTGGTTTGATTCAGATACTGGGCAGAATAGCCCTTGGCCTTGGAATAGACAGCTGGGCCGTCTTTACAGGATGAACCGTGCGGTTACCACAATGCACAGGCACAGGCCATCACCCGTGTGGGGCAGGAAATGTGAGCTCCACCGAGGGGTGGACCCCCCTAGCCTAAAGGATTAGGCTGGACGTGTGTATACGGAAATGTATATCCTCAGCCTCTGTATGTGCAGGTAAAGCAACAGAGGAACTGTGTGACCCTAGCCTTCCCCCTAGGCAGTGAGGGAACGGGCAGTATAGACCTAGCCATGGGCTAT